ACGTGTGTTCTGGGCAGGGGCATCTCCCCCCCCGCGTAGATGGCTCAGTGGCCGTACATGCTGGGCAGGAGCTGTGCTGGGCAAATATTTACCCGGTGTGTCAGCGTGGCTTTTAAACAGCTGCATTATCATCTGTACACGGCTCAGGTATCGTGCACAGAGTGGCACTATCTGTGGGCTGTATCCAGCTGCGCGGCTGCTGCGGGGAAGCCGCCGCCTTCACCCAGCAGCCGGGGACAGGAGCGGCTCTCCTGAACGGGGGGTGACTGGGGAAAGATCAACAAGCGTGGGCGCCGGAGGTGCAGCTGCAAGCAAAGCGAGACGTGACCCCACAGCATTCCATCTAGGCCCTCAGCAGCCCCAGGGCTAAAGCAGGCAGTTATCAGCACCAAGGTGGGGAGAAAACCCCAACAACCCCACGCATGCAAGGCGGGTGACGAGTAACCTCATCCGGGAGTGCCAGGACACTGTCCCAGTACTCCAGAAACAAGGGCTTCATGGCTTTGTTAAAGTGGGGTTGTTGGATAGAAATAGCAAATAAGGAAAGAAGAAAAAAAAAAGGTGAGCTGGGCAACTCCCCCCTTGCCCCAGCCTCGGCGGCTGGAGGCTTTGGAACAGCTTCTGCAAGAAAGTGGTAAAAGAAAGGCTTGGAGGTAAATGGAAAATATGATAAAGTATCTAACAGGTTTACCAAAGATAGAGCATGCCAGCCTAACCTGATATCCTTCTCTGATAAGCGATATTCTAGACAAAGAAAATGCGGTAGATTTTATCTCTCCTGACTTCAGTGAAGCATTTGATGCGGTGCCACACGGGAAACTGCTAGCCAGGCTGAAGACCACAGTGATTAAAAGCCTGCAGCCATTAGTGAGCTGGCTGCAGGTGGGCCGGTGAAGGGAAGTGCCTTGCACTGCGGTGTGTGGTTACTGAGGCATTGCCCAAGGGCCTGGGACCAAGCCTGTGTGCTGTTTCTATTAGTCACCTTGACACAAGGTGTAGGAAATGCCATCAAAACAGAAAAGAACAGGATGTTGGACAGAAAAAAAAAACCAGTGACTGCAAAGAGCAGCAACAGGCAAGAATTCAGTGATGCAGAGCGATAGTCACACCTGAGGATTAACAGGAATTTCTACTCATTGCTGGAAACCACCAACACAAGAAAGGCCTTCGAGGATGAGCGGAGGATGGGCAGACAGGGATGCCTCAGGCAGGGGTCCCCTGCACTGCCCTTCCCACAGGGTATGGCGGTGGGGTGCTTGCTGCAAGCCTGTACCTCTGCAGCTCCTACTACTGAATTTAGCTATTGCGTTTGGGGATGAAGAAGCTAGCTGGGATGCTGGGACCTGGCAGTTTGCCCTTGACCATACATCCCCTAGTCCCGCTACTGTTATTTCTGTGAGACTGAGGATAAAATAGTTCCTAGAAACCGGTCTTCCCCAGGCAGGGTGCGAGAAGCGCAGAAATGGGGGAGAGCAGGACCCCAAGACCAGTGCTGCCATAAGTCACCTGCTGGGCAGGGCTAACCCATGCAAATGCTGCATTTCTGTAAGAGATGCAAAGCCTTGGCTCCTGCTCCTCACCCCATCTCTGCATCCCTGCAGCTGGGTGCAGCCTGAGCACACTCATGGACTCCTTACCAGAAGGCAGCCGCTTCGCCGAAAAGAGGGTAGTCTGGAAACTTGCCAGCACCCGTCGCCTGTGCAGGTCCTGCACCAGCCGGTAATTGTTCTGCAGAGGTTCGCCGTCATCGTTTCTCAGGCTCGTCACCAGCATTGACATCTGGAAGGAGAACGGCATGAGCAGAGCAGGGTGCATCCCACCTTCAGGAGCCAGGCGGGCCCCAGGGGACTGGCATGGATAGCGCACGCTTGCTGGGAGAGGCTGGGCAAGACCCAGCATGGAGCCCATTGCCCTGACAGACCTGGTCATGAGAGAGCAGCATAGTCTGGTTGAAGACTGTCCACTTCACCGTCTGGTAGCAGGGAGGGGTGGTCAGAGAGCCATTGTAGTGGAAGTAGAGTTTCAGGTTGGCAGGCAGCAGACCTGCAATGTTGAATCCTGGCACCAAGACTTCCTCGCCTGGGAGAATAAACACCATGGGAGTGAGACCGGGGCAACCCCTTAGAGGACAATAGGCAGGACCAGCATGGAGATCATGGGCAGCCTGGCACTGCACGTGTCAGGGTCCACACTGCTGCCACTGGTGCACTGGAGAAAGAGCAGTGGGTTTGCCCTGGAGGCAGGGGAAAGCACGTGCGAGCAGAGGGCACCTTGGAGAGCTGTTTCTGTACAAGCTGTGCAACGCTCCCCTTCTCACATACATACGGCAAATGCCTGCTGCAGCCTCTCTCTGCTGTGCAGCAGGTTTCTCTGCTGGGCTGCAGCCCCTGAGACAAAATACTAGGTGGGACAGGGCCTTACCTTCTCTTTGGATTTTGTACAGATGCTCAAGTATTTCCTGATAGTATGGGTTCTCCCTTGGCCCAACCTGCAACACAGAGACCCCACAGTAATGACAAGGACAGGGGCCAAACGGAGACCAGTGATGGCAGGGCCAGCACGGAGGTATCACTCCCTGTGAGAGGCACCTTATCCCAGCGACCCCTTCCTCCTATCAGGGCTGCTCTGCCCTCTGGACTGCCCTCTCTCTCCCCTTCTTCCCAGGAGCATTTGCACCTTTGCCAGTCCCCAAAACTGTGCCTGACTCTGCTCACCCCAGACGCACCCTCCCCCTGCTCCTACCCCTTCTTGCCCAGGGCTGATCTGCAGGACTTACCTCCAGGAAGGCTCCCAGTACGGCCAGGCCATCTGGGTGAACCATTGCCTCCTTAAAGCTGTCATACTTGGTGTTGTAGTGGACCACGTGGATCTGGAAGGGAAACATGCAATCCTGATGCAGGATGGGCAC